AAAAGCAAGGCACAAAAATATACACCTCGCTTGTATTTCAAAGGAATTGCTCTTAGACAGTCGAGGCAAAAATCTGGTTTCATAGCATTAGAACAGTTACAGTAAATACTTGTCAATTAGTGGTATTTTAAATAAATTTCTAATTATTTCTTTTTTAAAATTGTTTTATTGCTTAAAGTATTACAAAGTATTGTTTTATTGCTTAAAGTATTACATATGTCTCCTTCCCCACCCCCCCTTGACATTCCCCTGGCCTCCCCTACCCCCCAGTGTCTTGTGTCCATTGGTTATGCTTATATGCATGCATACAAGTCCTTCGGTTGATCTCTTACCCACCCACCCCAGCCTTCCTGCTGTAGTTTGACAGTCTGTTAGATGCTGCTCTGCCTCTGTATCTATTTTTGTTCATCAGTTTCTAATTATTTATTTCCCTCTCCTCAACCTTTAATAAATCTTTAATAGAGCAGATTTTATATTAACCTTCCTGTGTATATGGCTCTCTCCATAATAGGAGGCGATCCAATCGAAAACTTACACATCACACTACCTAAAATGGTACCTACAAGATGGCAGAATTGAGAACATTTATGGAATTTAATAATCTGATTTGTGCTTAGAAAACCTGCATTGTGTTTAACTAGATGGTTAGAGACCCAGGCATCTGTTTGATAGGAAAGGAAAATGCAATACCCTAAAGAAGGTAAGTCTGTGAACATATAGTCAAAGTTATATCACAGTTACATATAACTTACCCTTGATTATTAAGACATCTTCAGCAGATGACAATGAAGCCCTATATTTTCAAATTTTGAAGTGGCATCTGTGACCATGAAATTTTATAATTTTTAATAGTAATCAAAATAAACTAAGGATGAACCAAAGTGAAAAGCATACATTTCTAAATATACAGGGTGTCCCAAAAATGCAGACACACTTTAACAGCTGATAGCTCAGTTTTTAAAATGAAATATATTTTAATAAATACTGCCTTTATAATTATTCAAAAGTGTGTGTTTACATTTTGGGGACACCATATTCATATAAGTCAAAGAATTTAAACTGATCAAGTAGTCTTTTAGAAAAACTTTCTAAATATTCAAAGATCCAAGGAATCATCTCATTCTGAGAAAAGTTTTAAATTACACACTTAATTACTGACTGTAAAATCCCAGTAACGAATTACAGTTGCAAAAATTGAGATTATATGAAAGACAAATATTTTTTCTTTTTTTAAATATTTCTTTTATTGATTTCAGAGAGGAAGGGAGAGGGAGAGAGAGATAGAAACACCAATGATGAGAGATCATTGATCGGTTGCCTCCTAGGGGGATCAAGCATGCAACTCAAGTATGTGCCCTGACGGGAAATTGAAATGGGACCTCCGAGCACACAGGCTGGGTTTTTGTTTTTAATATATTTTTATTGATTTCAAAGAGGGAGAGGGAGATAGAGATGGAAACATCAATGATGAGAGAGAATTATTGATCAAAAGATACAAATATTTTAGTCTTATATGAATTCATTCAGGGACTTAAATTGAAATGAAGATTCTTCATTGGGATTGTTTATAACTTTTAATGTATATCTGATTGTTAAAATAATGTACTATCTTCAGAGAACTGAAATATGTCTTCTTCAAAACTGTTTTCCTTTAATAACATTGTGTATAATTTGACAGGTCTAAAAATTAGTGAAATATCTGTAAAAGATTGACTAGTACAGTAGTTTAGCCTAGTATAAGTTTTAATTAATAAGGTCATAAACAGCTGAGTAGGAAGTTACTAGGCAACACATACAGAATTTCAAGTAATTTATTTATTGTAAATGTTATATTTGCATATGTATATATACACAAACCAAATTTTCTTTGAAAAACTAATGAAATTCAGTTAATAAACCTATTATTAAACTTTATTATGAAAGGTTATGTAAAATTTTTAGGTGCTTAAAATTTTACCATCCGTCACATTTCTTCCATAGTAAAAATTCATTTTTAACAGTTGTGAGAACTCGCACACACCACGTAACATTTTTGTACGTAATTAAGAAAACCTTTTCTTCCTTTCTCTAGCCTAATTCCTTTGAAAATATTAGTGTCAAGAGAGACCTGTTCCAGCACACTTTAGTAAATGTAAACATTCTAAATTATATTAAAAGCAAGCTTTAAAGTTTCAGATTTTACACTTAAAGTGCTCATGAAATTATCAAGTGGTTTTATAACAGCTCAATTGATTGAACATACAATTGTTCCTGCTTTATACAGCCATGAATCAACAGCATTTATCTGATTAGTTCTATTAAATACTTCGTACCTTAAGGTTTATACTTTATTAAAATAATGCTATTGTAAAAGGATGTCATGTTTTAACATGATTCACAATAGAATTCTATTAAATTAATTTTTCTAATATTCATTATCCATAGATAGATCCATAGACTCTATTATCCACAGAATCCATAGAATCACTTATCTATAGAATGATCATAAAAGTGGAAGATGACTGTGTGTGAATACACACATATATACCTTTAGTGTATTTTGTACTTAAAAATATTATGGACCTTAATTGTGGGATTTGTGCATTCTTTTGAAAACAGAATAAACTTTTATTCAAGAATCTAGCATATGATGATTATTAGTCTGTGCAAGATGAAAAATATTATATATTATTGGCAGTAAATTAATCAGTTTTCACAGGTATTAGATTATCACATGTTCAACCTGAAACTACATTAATGATAACTAAGATCAAAATT